CTAAAGCCTAAGCCCAAGGGCTTCATCTCTGGGCCGTGGGGGGGCCTGTAACCTGAGCCCTGCTGCCCAGGGCTGAAGCTGAAGCCTGAGCCCTGGGCAGTGGGACTCCAGCTTAGGCTTCAGCTTCAGCCCCAGGCAGTGGGGCTCAGGCTCCGGTTCTGGGCCCAGCCAGTCTAACACCAGCTCTGGCAATCCCCTTAAAACGGGGTTGCAACCCACACTTTGAGAACTGCTGCCTTAAATGATACTAGCAAGGTAAATTCCCAAGATGAGATCAGCCTAGGAGGACTGAAGCAGATTTGGGTTAGGACACGCTGGCCTGATTCTGATCCCAATTAGGTAATGGAGCTATGCTGATTGGGGAGGCAGGGGAGAGACTGGGGCAGGCAAGATTGAAATCAGGCCTTGTGGTTTCAGATATACAGTGTTTAAAAATAATTTACTATCATAATTACTTTACTTTTCATTGACTATAACTTTGTGGAAGGTGTCACATTTGAATGAGATGGAATTGAAATATATTGCATACCTATTTCTGCATTCTGCAGTGAAAATGTCTCGCTTGAAAGTCTGTGTACCGAAATGCCATATTAATCACTTCTCTGCTTAGAAGCTACTTGCCAGTGTGTTGCAATGCATACTATCAGTTTACTTGGGACTAGCTTTTCAAAAGTATTTAGGCACCCGAAGATACAGAAAAGGAGTACTTGTGGCACCTTAGAGACTAACCAATTTATTTGAGCATGAGCTTTCGTGAGCCACAGCTCACTTCATCACATCTGATGAAGTGAGCTGTGGCTCACGAAAGCTCATGCTCAAATAAATTGGTTAGTCTCTAAGGTGCCACAAGTACTCCTTTTCTTTTTGCGAATACAGACTAACACGGCTGTTCCTCTGAAACCGAAGATACAGAGTGGCACCTAGTGGGATGTATAAAGGTGCCTAAGCTGGTTAAGCATCTAATTCCCACTAAAATCATTTATCTGGCACAATCCCATGTTAATACCCTGGTCCTGCATGCATGAGTAGTCTCATTGAAGGCATTCAGCCTACCCATGTGCCTAAAGATAAGTATGAGAGAGACAAGATGGGTGAGTTAATATCTTTTTTGAACCAACTTCTGTTAGTGGAAGGCAAAGATTTTGAGCTACATAGAGTCTTTCTTCATGTCTGGAGAAGGAAGCAGAATGCCTGAGCTAAATACAAGTTGCGACAGATTAAGGAGAAGGGACAAGACATATTGGAGGCAGTCGCTTGAAATGAATTGGGATCCCTGTATAGCTTGAAAACTTGTACCTTCCACCTGGTTCCGCCAGAGAAGTTGGTCCAATAAAGGATCTTACTCACCTCTCTCATCTCTCTTACTTCCTAGGCTTAACGAAGATACAACCTGCAATAAAGTTAAGGGTGTGCTTGTTTGTTTGTTTGTTTGACCCCACGTTTTGGCAGGGAGTGTTCTTTAGTGCTTACAGATCCTTCAGCTCTTGTGCTTCCCAAGCCTGACCCTGTCTCCTCCATCCTGGCCCTGTCCCAGTCCTCTTCCTTCTCCTCCCCATGCTCCAAATTCCTGTCTTAAACTCTCTCTTCAGGCTCCAGGACTGTCCCAATCTTCCTCTCATTTTGCCTGCCAGACTCCCTCTCCAGGATCCTCATCCAATCTCACTCTTACACCAAACTCTACACCCCAGTCTCCTAGGTTCCTTAACCCAGGCTCCCCTGCACCCCCACCTCCAACTTCTTGATTTATCTCAGTCCTCTCAGGCTTCCAGTCTTAGTCTCCCCTGTCAGCTCCTTGTCTGGTCTCAGTGGCTCCCAATCTGGTCTCTGTTTACCCCCACCCCGGCTCCCAGGCTCTTTGCCCAGCCAGTTCCAGTCTGTCTTCCACCCAGCCCCACCCTCTCATGAAATCCATGTCCCAGGCCTAGACTCTCCACTCCAAGCTCTTTGCCTCATCTATGCCCTCCGCTAGGCCCGCTTCTTGTCCCTTCTGCATTCAATTCAGGCAGCTTTCTTCTCCACATAGGCTGGGTGCCAGCAGGGCACAAGGCAGCTGTGGTACTGGGCATAGGACTGAGAGCAGCCTATCAGTTCCCACTAGCTGAGAGAAGTAATTTCAGGGAAGTCCTTCTCAGCCACTACTGCTGTGAGATGGTGCATGCTCAGTGCAAGGAGAATCTTCACAGGATTTAGCCACCAAACTCCCAAAACCTCCAATGAGCATGTGAGAACTGAGGTTTTCAGAGGCTTATAATTTGCCCTAATTTGGGTGACTTTTCATGGGAACAGTACAAGGTGCAACTTTCTTGCTAAATGTAAAGTCCTTGCTCCAAAGCATGGAGGTCCTAGAGCATTTCAAACAGTTGTCAGGATTTTTTTAATTTGGACTAAATAGCGTTTTTTCCACTAATCTCATTTTTGGAAATAGCTGAATTGTTTTATCTGAAACTTAAAAAATCAGCTTGAGGCACTGAAAATTACAGCTTCAATTGTCCAAGTCTGGTAAAGTTATAAGCAACTGAAAACAGGGTCTTATAGTTGAAAGTGTAAGGCAGCTTTGACTATAAGCAGTGCCACCAGTTCCATCTATAATATAAACTGCATCAAATATTCTGTCAACTATTTGTGTGCATTTACTCTTCATTCAGCTGTGTGTTGGCTTTCATTAGGATCAGGCTCTTGACTATGTTTCAGGAAAATATTATGTGTCTCTACTAAAGATCTGTGGATATATTGAATGTGTCATTCTTGTCCTCTTAAATATTAGTAAGAGCCCTAGGTCCACATCTTCTGCAATGCCTGTGTTTTGCTGGTGTAGTGAGGCAGAAGAGAAGGAGCCAGTTACAGGTTTTACCCCAACCAGGTTTAAACTCAGACAACTTTTAACATCTCCAATAAATTATCTGCCAGCCACACACGCGCGCACACACACTCACTCTCTCTCTCTCTGGATGCAGAGGAGGTGGTGCAGGAGTCAACTCTGTGAGATGCGGTCAGTTTCCAACTCCATTTATCGTTCCAGAATAATGCAAAGAGAGTGTGGTGGCGACCAGAATTTTCAGCCTAGTCTTCTCTTGGTCTGCAATTTATTCCTGTTAGTACAGTATATGTTATAATTGAACAATTTATATGCATATAGCACATTTCATAATGTATAAGTATACAGTTTTTAACAAAATGTATTTTGGAGACCATCTAAGTTGAGTTTTTATTTATTTGCATTGCTGTTGTGCGGCAATCAGAATCCCACATCACCACCCCTGCTGTCTTCCTGTTGGCTAATGTATTTATAATAATGTAACTTCCCTGTAACATTGTTTATAGAAATGCATATTATTAGGTCATATTTATTAAGTAAATGAATGTGTATTGCTGAAAAAGCATAAAAACTGGGTTTTTTTAAAGTGGGGCCGGTTTGAAAGCAAAGCATGCAGAGGTAAGGCTGCTATCATATCTACCTCAATTCTTCCCATTGTGTTTAGGAATTGCATCTGGGGCCTGATCCAAAGCCTGCTGAAATCAATGGAAAACTTGCTATTGACATAAATGAGCCTCAAACTGGGCTCCTGACCAGGGGCCCAATCTTTCTTTTCTTTTTAGAAGCTCCTAGGCTCCAGTCCTATACACATTTAAGCATGTACGTAACTTTACTCACATGAGGAACCACTGTCTTCAGTGGGATTGCTCATCTGAATAAGGATTGCTCTCATAATTAAGATCAGGTCCATGTCAGCTGCAATAACTAAGTACTAAAGGAGGGACTGAAAGAATAGCAAACAAATATATCTAAATTCCCTTATTTTGGCAGACTTGTTTTTATAGTTTGTCATAACTTTGTATCTGATTTGTATTGATAGGATGCAAGAAAAGTCACTTAAATTACACCACGGTGTTTATGACTTGCTCTTTTCAGATGAAAAGTTGGTTTATGGCCCCAAATATTTTGCATTGATAAATAATATTACTGATGTCACCAATGCTTTAGAAACTGCCAAACAGATTGTACCAGGTGCTGAGCCTCTTCACTCTAGTGTGGTCAAAGAGCAGCATACCAAGAATGCCAGGATTTAAAACTCATATGGGAAATTGCCAAGGTTTTTGGTTCAATAAACTCTCACTGGATTCTTCATGCTCTCAGCCTTACCCAAGAGAATTATCACAGTGTTGCCAGCTCTAGTGATTTTTGTCATTAGTCTGGCAATGTTTGTTGGTTTTATTAAAGCCCCAGCCCCTGGAAAGATGGGCTCTCTCTCAACATCTCAACATCCATTTAAAAAAAATCTCAACATCGATTTAAAAAAATATATCTTTGTTCTTGTGGTAGTACTGACAACCCCAAGCATTCAGAAATCACGAATCAGTGCAGCCCTAAGAAACAAACAGAAACCTACACTGGGTTCTCTTTTATTTGCCACCTGGTGCTGGAGCGTTTGAGCTTCAACTACAAAGGTTAAAAACTTCTTGTTTTTTATGAAAGCTGAAATGTCTGGAGTATTCACCTAGGGCTTTAAGAAAAACACTAAATTGATCAAATCCATCAGATTTGGCAATGCTGTCATGGATGCAGAGAAATGCTTGAAGACCTGGCTGAGTATACCCTAAAGGTTCAATCCCCCCCCACACACCCAAAAAAAACAACAACAACCCTTTCAAAACGTATTTTTTAAAAGAACACTCATGATTTGTAAGTCAATATCCCGGTTTGGGGAGCCCGATTCGTGTTTGTTTGTTTTTGTTTTTTTAAATGATTGTTGCTGGCCACAGGGAAAAGGAAAAGAGTTACAAAAATGGGTGAGAAGGGGAGCGGAGCTTCAGCAGCTCTCTGTTGGTCAAGGCTCTCTCTGCTCGTTCGCTCGGCTTCTTGCGGGCCAGGGGTTACCTGCGGGAGAGGAGGGAGACGGGCTGGACGCGGAGGGGAGCCAGGAGGAACTGGCGGTGGAGAGGGGACTGAAAGTGGTGAGCGCCCTGCTGAGCTGCAGGTGCCCTGTTGCCGCGCCGCTCCCTCTAGCGCACGGCCCGGGCTCTGCACCGCTCGCCCGTCTGCCGGGGACCGGGCGGAGCCGCAGGAGCAGCTGCCCGCGAGCAGGAAACAAGCCCGAGGAAAGCCGCAGCCTCGGGGCCCCCCATTGTCATGGAGCGGAAGGTGGCCCGGGAGTTCAGGCACAAGGTAAGAGAGCAGCGCGCGCGGCAGCCCCGCTCTGCCCTTTGCAATCGGTAACTTTCTCACCACACTCGGTGGCTGCTGCTCGCTGGGAGAGGCGAGGGGACATTTTGCTGGGACTGTGGACTCTTGGTATCAATTAACCCGGATCCTGGGGAGGGGAGTGAACGTGAAGTGCTTGAAGCAGAACAAAGCATTTCTCCCAGAGCCCTGGGACTTCACTCCCGGGCAGCACTTCTAGTTCAAGGCACAGAAAGTCGCTGGCTTGATTGAAACGTGCCGGACAAGTTGGCTGGTTCCGTCTTCTATCTCTTGAATTTGACCTGGATTACAGGGCTCCCAAACCGGGGCGGTGTAAAACAGACACGGTTAATTTGATAAATGTCACAGAAAAACACACAACATACTCCCTCAAGAGAAGAGGAGACTTTTCAAGTTGATTTAAAAATCCTTCAGAAAAAATAAGTGTCCCTTGGAAGATATGAGACTTGGCAAGTTGGCAGGGCTGCCTTTATTAAACAAAAGTTGTTTTGTTTCTTTCATCTGAGTCAAATCAAATCAATACTAGCCAGTTCACAATGGGGAAAGTAAACCCAGGCCTGAAAGCCCAAAGCCAAATAATCAACATTTGCAGGAACCAGCATTGATGGCCAGTGATGTTGAGGAATTCTGTTTGGTCTTTACTTTTATGTGTCCAGTAGGCCATGCGCAATCATGTGCAAATATTCTTTATGTATCTAGCAGCCCAATTTGCATGACAATGATTACAAATGTCTAATAAAATGTCTGCCTTGTTAACCATCATTGTCTCTAACTCTGCATTGGGTTGGGCAACAGATCTGATAGGCCTGTGTCTCTGAGGCAATAATTATGGTCTTGGACTGTGGACCTATTCCCTTTCATGTTGGCAATAATTTATAAATCATCCTGGGTCCAGTTCTGCTAACAAATATTCATGCAAGTAATCTTTACTGTCAACATACTTCAGTGAAAGTAAATAGGATGAATGTGAGAGTAACGACTACCCACCTAAATAAAGAGTTTCAGGATGAGGCCTCTTGCTTAAACTGTTAAACCGCATGGTTTTAGTGATGCAGTAATATTAATTTTAATCTGTTTTGCACCCATAACTTCAAATATTTATTCTTTTGAGTTAGAACAGTAAAATATGCCCTTACACAGGTTCTGTGTTTCCTATCAATCAAATTACATTTGTATTTGATTTTGTAATGTTAATCAGTTCTTCCTTTCTACCAAGCAGAAGCCCTAAATGTAAATTATATCCCAACATATTGCCTAGTGCTTCGGTATCCTCTAACTCTTCTTAAAGGCCAGGAGAAACAAATGGACCCTGCAGTATGCCTTGAAAGTTTAACTTTCAAGTTGCATTATTTCAGTTGCATTACAGTTTTTGAGATCACATAGCTCTGATATTTTTCACAATATTTTTTCTACAGAATAAATAAATCTCAACTGAATATCAGATTACTATGCACATATAATTAAAATATTTTGTGAGTGATACATTTTATTAATATTGTAAATTACAAGCAAAGAAATGTCATAGATTTAAATAGTGTGAAAACAATCCACAAGGAAATTATTTACTTAGTTGTATCCTAGGATTTAAAATTACACAACTGTAGTAAGTATTCCCTGAAATAATGAGTGCATAGTATCTCCATATTAACAAACCCTATTTTGTGACTCTGTTAATAATGTTTTATTTCTTAATGAAAGTGTCTGCATTTATTTTTCAAAGCATTCTCTGTAACTGCATCAAGGTAATATGAACTCTGAGACATGTGATCTTGTGACATTTGACACTTCAAGTAATAGCTTATATATACCCTTATGCAAAGGACAGCTCTAATTAACTTATGTTAAACAACCAGGCCACAGATGTTCATTGTACCAAAACTCCTTAGAATCAATTTGTTTTCCAATTTGTCAGAATTTAGAAAGGGCAGGAAATATCACACTGTTCATTATTGGTTTGTTTGCATCCCTTCTAGGTTTAATGGAGCATTTATTGAAGTTCATTTAGGAAAAAATAATAATTTCTATATGCCACGGTGTGTTCATACTTACATAAAGTATCTTTCTGTCTCTGCATTGGTCTAGTAATAATGCATTTGATTTTTAAACCTGTGATGCCTGCACTGATAGTAACAGGAATTGCTAGAATGGATTAGACCAATGGTCAAAAATCCTATCTCTGACAGTGGCCAGTACTAGATGCTTCTGAGGAAAGAAACTCCAATAATGGGCAAGTATGGAACAACCTGCTCCTAGGGGAAGTTTTTTCCTGATGCCTGCCAGACGTTGGCCTACTCCCTGAAATACAAGGGTTTACATTCCTTTTGTTTTTTTAGTGTCTAACGTAACTGTGAATGTTCTCTTTATCCATATAAACGTCCGATACTCTTTAATCCTACAGGTTTTTGGCCTCAGTGATATCCTGTGGTAGCAAGTTCCACTGATTAATTATGCAATGTGACAACAGTGTTTTCTTTTATCAGTTTTAAATTTGCTTCCTTTTAATTGCATGGAATTCCTTCTTGTTTTTTGTATTTTAAGGGTGCAAATTGAAGTACTCAGATGATCTTCTCTGTACTACTCATTATTCTCTATAATTCTGTCCTAAATCTCTGACTTGGACTCCTAAGTAAGTTAACCAATTCCAATCTGTCCAGTCTCTTTTCATATGGAAGTTTTTCCATGCCTCAGGTTTCATCATCTGTCTCTGATTGCCTTCTATATCTGCTATATCCTTTTGAGATAGGATAAGCATATAAATAAATTGATTTATACAATGACATTATAACATTTTCAGTATTATGCATCCTGACATGTTGTTTGGTTGGGTTTGTTGACTGCACTGGTTTTCACTGAGCTAATTTTTATATCAATAAATACTATAGGTTGAGTAAGTGTGACATCCTACTCTTCCTCACCACCCAATGAAAAACCTCCTCTCATGGATTGGCAACTGGCTAAAAGATAGGAAACAAAGGGTAGGAATAAATGGTCAGTTTTCAGAATGGAGAGGGGTAAATAGTGGTGCCCTCCAGGGGTCTGTTCTGGGACGAGTCCTATTCAACATATTCATAAATAGTCTGGAAAAGGGGCAAAATTTGCAGATGATCATACAAAACAGCTCAACATAGTTAAGTCCCAGGCAGACTGCGAAGAGATACAAAAGGATCTCCCAAAACTGGGTGACTGGGCAACAAAATGGCAGATGAAATTCAGTGCTGATAAATGCAAAGTAATGCACATTGGAAAACATAATCCCAACTATACGTATCAAATGATGGGGTCTAAATTAGCTGTTACCACTCGAGTGAGAGCTTGGTATCATTGTGGATAGTTCATTGAAAACATCCACTCAATGTGTAGTGGCAGTCAAAAAAGCAAACAGAATGTTGGGGGTAGATAATAAAACAGAATATATCATGTTGCCTCTATAAATCCATGGTATGCACACATCTTGAATACTGAATGCAGATGTGATCGTCCCATCTCAAAAAGATGTATTGGAATTGAAAAAGGTTCAGAAAAGACCCCTAATAATTTTTGTTGCTATGGAACAGCTTCCATGTGAGGAGAGATTAATAAGATTGGAACTTTTCATCTTGGAATAGAGACAACTAAGGGGGTATATGATAGAGGTCTATAATATCATGGCTGGTATGGAGAAAGTAAATAAGGAAGTGTTATTTATTCCTTCTCATAACACAAGAACTAGGGACCACGAAATGAAATTAATAGGGAGCAGGTTTAAAACAAACAAAAGGAAGTATTTCTTCACACAACGCACAGTCAACCTGTGGAACTCTTTGCCAGAGGATGTTGTGAAGGCCAAGACCATAACAGGGTTAAAAAAAGAACTAGATAAATTAATGGAGGATAGGTCCATCAATGGCTATTAGCCAGGATGGGCAGGGATGGTGTCCCTGGCCTCTGTTTGCCACAAACTGGGAATGGGCAACAGGGGGTGGATCACTTGATGATTAACTGTTTTGTTTATTCCTTCTGGGGCACCTGGCACTGGCCGCTGTCGGAGGACAGGATACTGGGCTAGATGGAGCTTTGGTCTGACCCAGTATGGCCATTCTTATGTTCTTAAAAGCAAGGAAATGTCAATTTATGGGACATCTCTTCACCATGAGCTAACACTCACATAATACATTTTTCACATCTTTTACCTCCAACAGATAAGGAAACATACTAATCTCCCTTACAACACATGTAACAGAAAACTTTAATTACAATTTCAACAACATTCGCAAATAAGCAGGGTAGACATCTGTGCACAAGAGGGTGACCACATAGCAAGTGTGAAAAATCGGGACGGGGGTGGGGGGTAATAGGAGCCCATATAAAAAAAAGCCCCAAATAGCGGGACTATCCCTCTAAAATCAGGATATCTGGTCACCCTAGTGCACAAGTATGCAGTGTGTTATGTGATTGTGGTGGAAGTCTGAGTTGAACACTGTACTGATGGAGATGAACTTGTAGTGTGTTTCTTTCTCCATTGAAGCAGAAGGAGGTTCTTTGTGAACATGCAAAATCCATGACCATCAGTGAAAATATGATGTGTGGGAATTACGTTAGTAAAAAGATTAAAAACGGTATGTAGCAAAATCTGTATGGCCAGACAGTGTAGCCTTAAGTGCGTGTGGGGGATCTTTTCCTAGAAGTTTTTTTTTAGGCTGATGTTGTCTTCTGCTGCTTCTTACGTCTGTTTTTGTTTGCAATAAAATGTTTTTTTACAGCAGCAAATAAAAGCAAATCTATTTAATGTTTAATTAAAATCAAAATGTTTTAATTCAAATCTATTTAATGTTTAATTAATTAATCAAAAATTTAGGTCACATGTTAGGGGAGTGTATTTTTCAAAGCAGTGACTCAGAAAATGAATAAAGCTCATGGTGGGTAACCAGCTGAATATGAGCTTGTAATGCAATGTGGTGGCTTTAAGAGAGCAGGTGCTATCCTTGGACATTTAAACAGGGGACTATCTAGTAGAAGTAGAAAAGTGGGAAGTATTATTACCACTGGTTATATAGCATCAGGGACACCGTTAGTGGAATGCCATGTCCAGTTGTGTCCCCACTTTTTAAGAAGAATATTGGCAAATTGGAAAGGATTCAGAAAAGAACTAAAGGAATTATTTGAATTCCGGAAAAAACTGTATGTATAGCGGGAGGCTGTAAAGGTCAATCTGTTTAGCTTATCAAAGAGACTGTTAGGATGGTGGCTTGATCCCCATACCTACATGGGGAAGAGATTTCTGGCAGTCAAGGGCTTTTTAAGTTAACAGACAAAGGCATAACAAGAGCCAATGGACAGAAGGCGAAGCTAGACACGTTCAGATGAGAAATAAGGAACAGGTTTTTAAGAGTGAGGGTATTAACCATTGGAACACCTTACTAATGGATGTAGTGAATTCTCCATCGCTTGAAGTCTTGGATTTTTCTAAAAAAATAAAAATAAAAAGCTGTCGCTCAACCAGAAGTTATGGGTTTGATGCAGGAATCACCGGGTGAAATTATATTGCCTGTGTTATGCAGGAAGTCAGAGTAGATTATATTAACGATCCTTCTGGCCTTAAAATCTATGGAACCGTATATCCCTGTTTCTCCTCTCAATTGTCTTCCATGTTTTTATTTCTTAAGGATTAGATAGGTATAAAAGGCTGATATTTTGTGTTGTTAGGCCAAATCCATTCTGGGAAGAGCCCCTAACAGGCACCCATTGTGATAGGCAAAGTGCACGTGTCACAAAAGAGTGGCTGTTCCAACGAGCTTACAACATAAGCAAATGACAAGAGACAACAGATGGATACAACGATCCAGTGAGTGGGGGAGACAAGGCTGCTGGAAAATGGCAATGTTGAATGGAAAACACTGCAGTTGCAGCACACGAGCTGCCTAGTTTTCAATCAAGTGTTTTGTCGATATCACAGGAGAGAGGAATTTTAAAGATGATACCAGGTGTGGCTGTGCAGATTTTTATGGGGAGTTTCTTCCTTGCATAAGAGGTAGTATGTGACAGAGGACAAAGGTGTTGGAGGGGAAAATTTGATGAGCAGGCACTACAGGCTGGTATTGCTGGGAGGGTTTAGAGTTTATGGGTAGAGTTTCATAGATCGAAGGCCAGAATGGATCATTAATAGGTAGGGCAGACCCCAGCCATGAAAATCTTAAAGGTGAAGAAAAAGCAGCGTATGTTTGCAGTGCAAAAGTGGAAGCCAGTGGAGGGTTGTAGATTGGGAGGGGGCGTGTGACACAGTCAGAGCAACAGGCCAAGAAAATGATCCCAGAAGCAGCATTTTGAATGGACTTACTACCTTTTTGTCAAGCATGCCTTTGTCAAGGCCAGAGAGAAGGAGGTAGTGATCGTCAAGTCATGAAATGATGAAGGTTTTGATGAGAGTTGTGGTGGAATGGACAGAGAGAAAAGGCTGGATGTTGTGTTAGAATAAACAGCAAGATTTAGACACTTGTGTTCTTCCCTCCCACTGCTGAAAACTGGGAGGAGAGGGGGACATGCCACCTCCACCTAAAACTAAACATATGGCAGCTACAGCCCCATGACTAGACATGGCAGAATTCAGTTTTGGTTTTTTATATATATATAATTTTGATGGATAATATCAATGTTTATTTGTAAAGATTTTTTTCCCCAATTCTTATGAATTTTAAATTTTCACAGTTTTGGGAAATTATGGAGGTGGGACAATGCGGGGGTCAGACAATAATTATTTAATGACATTTGATGTTGAGATTCAAAAAGTTAAAGCTTTGTCACTGTTAAAACACAAATTGTCAACATCGCATGTCAAAATATATAAAGTAAATATCCTTAAATCAAACTCTAGTAACCAGCATTTTTCTTTCTTTGCCTATCTGTAAATTTCTATTATTGTCAATGGAAATATATTTTTGTCCGTTTGTGTGTACGGTGAAATTGACATTTATTGACCATCTTTCCAAGCCTACCCATGATGCACAGTACATTGTGTAAGTAGTGTACCATTTCTACAGGGTCTGTCCTCCAGTCAGACAGGGAGAAGGGTTGCTGTTTTGGGTCTGAGGTCTGTTGGGAGAATTTATTAGTGGTTTGGACATATTTCTCAAGAGTCTTAAGCACCTTCTATGGCACCTTAGTTAGAAGCTGTGCTTAGGTCCATTGTACCAGATTTTGTGTTGAATTTACACCCAATGTGAAAACCCGTGGAGGTCAGTTGATCGGTGGAGAATTTGGCTCATTGTATAGCACCAACTTATGAGTGCGACCATGTTATTAGATTTTTACACACATTTTCTTTCCTGGATTCTGAAGTTCACTGGTGCAATTTGCTCATTTATACTGTCAGTCAAACAATCTTGCCCTGTGCATAGGTGTCTAACTTTTAATTGTGCATTAAGTGTTTTGTTGCAGGGGAAAAAAGTCCCAGACAATCAATTATATATGGAATCATGTTGGTTTTGGAGGACAAGAAGAGATTTATAATGCAACGTGAAGCATTCATTTAACTAAAAATGTAATGCAAAGATATTGAAAACCTAGAATAAAAGGAATATGCTTAAACATTCACATTTGTCCTTGGACTTTTTGTCACAGTAACTTTTCCTTTACCTTAGATGTAAATTATGTTTTCATAAACATTAATCTTGTCTAAAAGCAAAATTTCTGTGATGTAATCTGCTGTTGCAAAGGAGGCCAGTGGGTTTTCATGGGTTTCACAGAAGACAGAAATTGGCATGTGACAGATCTGAACTTTTTTAAAAATTTTATTTTAGTGCAGGTAGCAAAGTGGAAGCCTTGTAATCTGACACTAGTTTAAGTGAATGCACTGTTACAGAGTGAGGAACTAATGAATAGCAAGCAGCCAGCTCTGTCACAGTACCAGAGCCAAGAGGAAGAATCTAGGATAGTGGGTAGTTTACCTAACAATATCTGAGAGATGCGAAAATCAGAACTTTAAAGCCACTTAACATATAGTATAGTTATCTTGATTGTGACGTTTCTGGTTGTGAAAGCATGTGCTATATTAATGAATGGCCAAAAAGGTTTCTGAAAATATTTATTCAACAATACAGTCGTTATAAGGTAAGATAAGCTTGTGATATTACAGCATGCTGTACTAAATGGAATACTAGCTTTCAAAATCTGTGGTGACAGGTTTTGGACATGGTACTAAATCCGTCAGTGTTTTAAAAAAAAAAATCAGCCTTGCCTTAGGTTTCAAATTCTAAAGTAATATTGCCTTTCAGAGATCTTATTTGTGTATTAGATGACTTTCCCCATTGACATCATTGTCCCTTTGCTCAGGAATTTGTGACTGTCATATACATTCAACATTTGTAGCTATTTAGTCATAGAATTACAAGGATGTTCTTGTATTTTCAGGTTGACTTGCTTATTGACAATGAAGCAGAGAAGGATTACCTTTATGATGTGCTACGGATGTACCACCAGTAAGCTCTAACATCAGACTTTTAAAAGCAGTTATAGATCCACTGCATTTGTTATTTAAAGATTAAACAGCTAAAATCTAATTTAAACAATAATCCTAAATGTAGTCTGTAGAAAACTAGCTGAAGTAATACTTCCTAGTTTTATTTAACAAAGTCCTATACTTCTGCAATTCGGTACATAAGAAATGAGCATGGTTTTAAGTTTGATCATAAAGTTATTTTGTTTGTGATGACTTACCAGTTACATAAATAAATGGAAACTTGATAGTTTATAACAGGAAAAAATCATGAGCATCTTTCATAGGAAAGAGCAAAATTGTTTGACCAGTCAGTTTGCTTATTTTATTTGATTTTTAGATTCACTATTTTTATAAATCTCTCCAACATGCGAAAATACTTTGGACTGTTTTAGCAGAAAGACTATGAATAAATTCAACCTGGAAATCTTTGTCCTGCACGTTGCAGCGTTTTGTTTTTCTATAACATAATGACAAAAACATCAGTTACAAGATATCAGGTCAATTATTCATTCCAGTTACACCTGTGTAAATCAATGGAATTACTGTGCATTAACGTCAGTGCAACTGAGATCGGCATCTGGGCCACTGTTTCTTAAAGAAGATGAGAATATTTTTTCCACACTTCATAGCTGAATGGTTCTGATGGACATAGTTTCCATTCATATCTTAATTAATAGCATCTCAATGGAGTGAAATGTAGAAGTTTCCAAATTTCCATGTGGTCTTTGTACTGAGGTACCGTTTTGTATGCCCTCAGCTGCATATCCGATTCAGTTTCACTGAGGTCTGTCTAATTGCTTCTCCATTCATAAAGCATTGCCTGTTGCTTGTGAAACCAGTATGAAACAGTAGCTGTTAATTATTTAAAACTTCCTTACAGTTACAAAATTAACAAATATCTCCACCATTAACTTTTCCCCACAAGTTCAGAAATTGTACCGAGTTTTAAGTAAAATATCAAATGCTACTATTGAGGTTTATTGAATGATCTTAACTTTTTTATTTATTATGAAGTACGGCAACAAAAAAAGTAAGACAAATACATATTGTGACCAACAGCTAGGATTTGTTTCACTCTGAATACTCCTTTCAAATAAGTTTAAATATTTGGGGATATAATCCTATTATGATGTGTATTAGTTTCTATTAATATTAGTGGGTTACATGCACATCAAGAAAAGTAATATGCAGGGTACCTAAATGCTGTGATGATAGATACCTGATAGTGAATAGGTAGATATGGGCCAAGTTCTGTTGTCTATTGTGCTCCATTCAAGCCAATGGAGTTGTTCCAGATTCACACTGGTGTGACATGACAACATAATCTGGCCCTATGACTATGTCTCAAAATTGATGAAGTTAGTAACAAGAACTCTTAGGTGGAACTCAACGAAAATAAGCAGTTTTCTGTTCATGCTGGTTCCAACTGTCTTACATAGTTCAGGGGTGGGCAAACTTTTTGGCCCGAGGGCCACGTCGGGCTTGCGAAACTGTATGGAGGGCTGGGTAGGGAAGGCTGTGCCTCCCCAAACAGCTTGGCCCTGCCCCCTCCCACTTCCCACCCCCTGACTGCCCCCCTGAGAACTCCCGACCCATCCAATCCCCCCTGCTCCTTGTCCCCTAACCACCCCCGGGACCCAACCCCCTATCCTATCCTCCCGTCCCCTGACCGCTGCCCCCCCCCGAAATTCTGCCTCATCCATCTGCTCCCGGTTCCCTGACTGCCCCGACCCCTATCCACACCCCAGCCCCCTGACAGCCCCCCCCCCCCCCCCCCCGGGACTCCTATGCCTATTCAACCTCCCTGTTCCCTGTCCCCTGACTGCCCCTCCCGAACCTCCGCCCCATCCAACCCCCACCCCCCTTACCATGCTGTTCAGAGCAGCAGGAGCTCACAGCCCCGCCGCAGCCAGCCACGCTGTCCAGCAGGAGTGATGGCCCAGAGCACTGGCGGTGTGGTGCGCTGAGGCTGCAGGGGAGAGGGGCCGGCGGGGGAAGGGAGGTGGGCGAGGCTCAGGGGCTGGGCAGGACGGTCCCATGGGCCGGATGTGGCCTGCAGGCCATAGTTTGCCCACCTCTGATAGAGTTATATGATTTCACCGCCACTGAATTTCACGGAAATTCAAACATACTTAGCTGCAACCACTCAGTTCCATGTGGCTTTTTCGGATTGCAACTATACATCTATCTCCTGAATCCATGGAGAGAAGAAGTTTGCTGACAACATGGCCCAGGTTCACGAAAAAGGTTTGCAAATGTGGACAGAGTTTCAGGGTTGAAATGAAATCTAAAACCTGGTGAAGAAGTTTACCTGCTTTTGAATGTCATGACCAAAGATTTACATAGGTCTGTTGGTATTTCTGAGAATAAAGCTAACTAAAGATGTCTTCCTTACAGTATTGACAAGACATTTGTGGATTAAAGAATTACACAGACTATGTGGACATGAATTTACTTGAATTAGAAAAATATCTTTACACTAGTTTTATTTTTAAATGATACAGGAAAAACATATCCCTTGCTTATGATTGGTCTTGAACTACATAAAGAACCTTTTAAACAAATCTCTCTCTCTCATAAAATCCAGTCTTAGTATGAGGTACAAACAGCAAATATAATCTTGTTAGTATTTTGATCACCCAGTCCAGTTTTCTCAATGTATTTTTATAGATCCATGAATCTCCCAGTACTGGTAGGGGACCTAAAGCTTGTGATTAATGAACCAAGTAGATTGCCGCTGTTTGACGCCATCCGTCCCCTTATCCCATTAAAACATCAGGTGGAATATGATCAGCTGACGCCTAAACGATCAAGGTACATGTAGAACAATGTAGGTCACATGAACACAAGCAGGAATCCTTGATTGAAAAGTAATTTATTCAGCCACGTTTTGATGAATAAAATATCTATATCCTGTGCATGCTATCACAGACACTGAAGTTGTCTTAGATGTAGTTCTTTGGGGACTGAATTTATTGTTTGGACTGAAATGTGTCTGTTGAAAATATTAGTCACATATTCTCTTTTCAGGTCTAAGCATGACAACTGAAAATATTTTAAGCAGTAACTTAAATACTTAAAATGAAGCTTCAGTTGTCACAACTTGTCATACTGTTGTTCATTGCGATACATTCCACATTTACAGAAAGCTGAAGGAAGTGAGACTGGATCGTTTGCATCCTGAAGGGCTTGGAATAAGTGTGCGAGGAGGACTGGAATTTACTTGTGGCCTCTTTATCTCCCAACTAATTAAAGGTGGACAAGCAGACAGTGTTGGGCTTCAGGTAAGAAAACACATTCTTGGTCATACTGCTGCAACAAGCCCTCTTATTATGATCTGAGGAAAGAATCCAGTCAGAAATGTTCTTTAATCTCTTTATGTAACTGTCACTAAGGAATTTACGCTTTTAAGTTTTTTTTCCTTTTTAATCAAATTCATGAAATGTGGTAAATCAGCCAGTGCTATTAATATTTTCCTCTTCCTCCCAACCCCTTATTATTATGTAAACCAAAAATTCTTTTTCATGTTTGATTGTATATGCCAGTTCTGAAGAATGGCATAAAAGGAGGATTATGTGAGGCACCTGAATTCACGCTTTATATCCAGCAATATCCAAATGTAAAATACATTCAACAGAAGATCTTCTCTAACTGGAAAACATAAGAACCTTTCAAGTTGCGAAAAGCCTAATAAATGTAGGACACAACACTTAAAATAAAGGATAAACAATGAAAATCAGGAATAACCATTTTAAAAATGTAAATTTTGCCTAATAGGGAAATAATCTCTTAAATGCAATTAGATTTTAATTTTAAATTTCATTTATATCTTACTATTGTTTAATATTTATATTGTGGTAATGTCGAAAAGCAAATCAGGTTAGAACCCAAGTGCACTAGGTACTGTAAAAACACATAATAATAGCTTCTTCTGTGGATAAATTCCTGGGATAAATAATGCAGTAAAACCAGTTCTTTTGAAGACAAAAAATATGGATGTGGTGATGTACAAAGAAAAAAGGGCTAATACCAAATGAAGAGTAGAAAAATGTGCATCATTTCTTGTTCCTCCTCCTTGTTCACACATACATCTTAACTGGGTGAAAGAGAGAAAATTGTGAATGAAAATGTCTATCAAGCCATATGCTGGACCTCTCTTTATCAGACATAAGAATGCTTAAACTATCTAACTGGAGGGGAGTGTGGTAAGCATAGATGTTTGTGAGTAGGATGGAGTGTTGCTGATTTATTCTTTCTGGCTAATTTTGATTATGAGGGGAATAAGTTGCTGGACGAGCTGGCTTCTATGGATTATATTTAATATTTGCCCCAAATGAATCAGATTAGGTACTTCTTAATTTGATATTTAAATGGAATAAAATAAAATAGTGCACCTTCTTACAATCCCTTTCCCGAAGATTCATATGCATCACAGGCTACATGTAGTCACAATTGGCCTGCCCAATTCAGGTAACTCACCCAGAGACTTTTTTTTTTTTTTTTTTTTTAAGATTTTAAACAAATGTTCGTGTGTGTGTATATATATCCATCTACTAAACCAGAGTCACTGTTAGATTAGTCCCATATACTGATATAGAGAAAGTGATTCAGCTCCAAGATCTTAATTTTGTAGCTCTCCTTCATGGCTGGTGCAGAAAAATTTGCCAAGAGATACAAGCCTGAGGCACACTTGTTGTGGACTGTGGTCAATCAACAACTCACTTCTCCATCAGGAATTTGCTAGAAGAGGAATACCAGAAGCAGATCTTAATCTATCATTCAGGAGCTAGCCGTGTGAGCTGTTCTAGGCATTCAGAAAGGGGAGAGTGGACAGCTGACACATTCTCAACCTGTGGTCAGTTCATTCGAAGTGTTCTCACTCTTCTCTTCATTCATTGCAAGAACAGGGAAAGCAAGACAGAGGACAGTCACATCTGGAAGATACTAATGTGACTGAACAGTAATGAACTTAATGGCAACTATATAAGCTGTCGAACTAACACATTCATGTAGTGCTACTAATCACTTGTCTCCTATTCACCAGTTGTCTCAAACCAATACCAGTCATTTGATGCAGTCTAGGTAAGGTTGTTTTCAGCCAACCTTGATTCGGAAATGCACTCAGATGCTGTGCTCTTGGAAGATGGAAGCTTGTTAAGGCAACCCATTCATTCTTCTTGGTGAAAGTGCAAGTGGGAAGGGCAGCAATAGCTTCACCTAATATTTGACTGCCCTAGTATTCCACATTGATTCATTGTCTCTTGTGAGTCTTCGCAGGAGCTCTGAGCCAGGTTGTACCAAGCACACAGTAGTTCAGAACTCCATTTCTGTTTCTCAGACACAGACAAAGTGTGAATAAAGAAAAAAAAGATCCCTGAATATGTTACTGTGAATGTATTAGACTTCAATTATATGTATTAATATGAACAGGTGGTGTTTTGCTGCTAATCTAACTGTCTTGCTTGGGTTTGTTGATATTACGTGGTAAGGATCAGCTTAAGGTGCCTCCATAATAGGCAGCACTAGCCACTTTCTAAAACCAAGTGAATAAGGAGAATTGACAGGCTGTTCATTGTTCTAAATTGCTGTCTCATGGTAAAGCCAACTGCTTCTGAAATTTCACCCATCTGCATTATTTAGCTAAATCTCTACACTTTTTTATTCCAAAAATGCAGTCTGAGAAAAGGTTTAATGATCTTTTATCATAAAATCAGTTTTAGCCCCTGTTTTTTTTATCCTAATTCATTTCTCATGATGATTATTCCTTGAAGTGGTTTCTGCATTTCTAAATGTTTGTATAGTCAATGAATTTGACTGAAACATTTGAAGTTTTGACCTTTTTTCTATGACTTTTTGATTTTTCTGAATGAAGAGCATTTATCCTTTTCATGTTTTATTGTTTCTTCTCTGTTTTGTGCTGCTTTCTCAGATACTCATATCTATGAGGATTCTCTTGAAAAGAAAGGTTTTGAGATTAGTATGAATAATGAAAGGAGAAGAAATATACAAAAACAGAAATCTGAAATGGTCAGCGTGACTATCTTATTTTAATCATGACACAAGTTCTCTTTCTTGAAATGTAAAGGCAAAATAAAGGTATTATCTAACTTCATGCTGTTACAGCCTTTATTAGGAATTTTTCTACAATGCATTGGATGTGTTGACAAGTATATAGGATGCACTATACAACCTAATTCTCCATTGCCTTGCACCTTGAAAAAATACTGCCACTCCATTTTACACACACGGCACTCTCACTTTGCATGTTGTAAATGACTACACAAGATGTAAGGTAATAGAGAAGGAAACTGAAAACTTGGTCAGATATCCCATCATTACATTACCTCTTTAATGAGAGATGCTACATGCCGTAATAATTGGGCTCAATGGGACATAAAAACATTGTGGTATCAGTCTTAATTCTGAACTTCCTTGGTTTTGTAAGTCAGGGCTTTAGTATTACTACTAGAATGGCAAGAGCTATTCTGAGACAACCTAGAACCTTGGTTTCAGAGTGGTAGCCATGTTAGTCTGCATCAGCAAAAAGAATGAGGCGTACTTGTGGCACCTGAGAGACTAACAAATTTATTTGGGCATAAGCTTTCATGGGCTAACACCCACTACATCAGATGCATGGAGTGGAAAATACAGTAGGAAGATATATACACAGAGAACATGAAAAGATGGGAGTTGCCATACCAACTCTAACGAGACAAATCACTTAAGGTGGGCAGGAGGAAAAAAAACGTTTGTAGTTATAATCAGGATGGCCCATTTCAAACAGTTGACAAGAAGGTGTGAGTAACAGTAGGGGGAAAAGAAAAGGAGGACTTGTGGCACCTTAGAGACTAACAAATGAGCATGGGGAAATAATTTTTTGTTTGTGTAATGACCCATCCACTCCCAGTCTTTATTCAAGCCTAATTTGATGGTGTCCAGTTTGAAAATTAATTCCAGTTCTGCAGTTTCTCGTTGGAGTCTGCTTTTGAAGTATTTTTGTTGAAGAATTGCCACTTCTTTTAGGTCTGTAATTGAATGTCCAGGGAGGTTGAAGTGTTCTCTGAATGGTTTTTGAATGTTATAATTCTTGATGTCTGATTTGTGTCCATTTATTCTTTTGCATAGAGACAGTCCGGTTTGGCCAATGTACATGGCAGACGGACATTGCTGGCACATGGTATATATCACATTGGTAGATGTGCAAGTGAACAAGCCCCTGATGGTGTGGCTGAAGTGATTAGGCCCTATGATGGTGTCCCTTGAATAGATATGCGGACAGAGTTGGCAACGGGCTTTGTTGCAAGGATAGGTTCCTGGGTTAGTGTTTTTGGTGTGTGGTGTGTGGTTGCTGGTGCGTATTTGCTTCAGGTTGGGGGGCTGTCTGTAAGCAAGGACTAGCCTGTCTCCCAAGGTCTGTGAGAGTGAGTGATCGTCCTTCAGGATAGGCTGCAGATCCTTGATGATGCGCTGGAGAGGTTTTAGTTGCGGGCTGTAGGTGATGGCTAGTGGAGTTCTGTTACTTTCTTTGTTGGGCCCATCCTGTAGTAGGTGACTTCTGGGTCCTCTTCTGGCTCTGTCAATCTGTTTCTTCACTTCAGCAGGTGGGTATTGTAGTTTTAAGAATGCTTGATAGAGATTTTGTAGGTGTTTGTCTCTGTCTGAGGGATTGGAGCAAATGCAGTTAAGCCTGACTGTAGACAATGAATCGTGTGATGTGGTTTGGATGAAAGCTGGAGGCATGTTGGTAAGTATAGCGGTCAGTAGGTTTCCGGTATAGGGTGGTATTTATGTGACCATTGCTTATTAGCACTGTAGTGTCCAGGAAGTGGATCTCTTGTGTGGATTGGTCCAGGCTGAGGTTGATGGTGGGTTGGAAATCATTGAAATCCTGGTAGAATTCCTCAAGGGCTTCTTTTTCATGGGTGCAGATGATGATGTTGTCATCAAGGTAGCGCAAGTAGAGTAGGGGCGTTAGGATATGAGAGCTGAGGAAGTGTTGTTCTAAATCAGCCACAAAAATGTTGGCATACTGTGGGGCCATGCGGTAGCAGTGCTGCTGACTTGAAGGTATACATTGTCCCCAAATGTGAAATAGTTGTGGGTGAGGACAAAGTCACAAAGTTCAGCCACCAGGTTTGCCATGATGTTATTGGGGATACCGTTCCTGATGGCTTGTAGTCCATCTTTGTGTGGAATGTTGGTGTAGAGGGCTTCTACATCCTCAGTGGCTAGGATGGTATGGACTCACCTGAGTGTGACTTAACCCCATAAAGATGTAGACTAA